CAAGACTGAAGTTGGTGACATCAAAATTTTAATGTGTGGGGTGACTTGAATGCCAAACTCGGAGAGGAAAAGACAAGGAGAGAACTCATCATGGGTCGAGAAACACTCAGTGAAATGATGACTGAGAATGGAGAACTGTTTGCAGACTTCTGCGCGTCCAACGATTTGGTGATTGGAGGCAGTGTGTACAAGCACAAGGATATTCACAAAGCGATATGGACTTCACCAGATGGACACACTAAAAATCAGATCGACTTCATTTCAATGTGAAGAAAGTGGAGACGCAGGCAGCCCACTGGACACGAGATGAAGAAGGGGAGCAGATGTAGGTTCAGGCCATCAGACTATCTACTGCAAAAAATTTACTGTGTAGTGCACCATCCTGGCACTAAAATACAACTAGGGCTAAAATAAATAGATTAAATTAAACTAACTAAATAAACCTATAGCTCGCCTCCTGATGCTTTAGGTGTTTTAAGTTCTTTTTAACGAGCATGCATCCCAGCAGACTTGGACGCCATTTTGCGCTTCCTTAGTGCTGGTTAGCACACACGTACTCACAGTCCCTAGCTCAGCCATAATAGCCAGATAAGTTGAATAAACTTTTCCCCCATTCATTACTACTACATTAACTCTAATTAAATACATTACTTCTTCAAATATATTCCCAAACCAGTCTTTTTGATTCGTATCTCGTTATCAGTACTTACACGTTACGTAGGGTACTGGTTAAGCAGGTACTGGAGTACATCAGGTTAGTAGGGCTGGTCAAACGTTAAGAAATAGTACCACACCCCATGCACTACCTTCCAAATCAAGTTGAAAGCCTTCACAGAGCTGGTGATAGACCACAGTTCAAGTTCCACACCCAGAACAGAGACTGAATTGAAGGACGAAACAACAAACCACATCTTCACGTCAGTCAGTCAGTCATCAGGGGAAAATGGGAGACATTAAGCAACTTCTCTGAAGAAACCTGTGTGGAAGAACACTGGAAGTCTTTGAAATAGACTGTGAAGGAGACCTGCATGACTGTGTTAGGAAGGAAGAAGACAAGACATGGAATGGAATGGATCTCAACGGGTACATGGAAGCTGATAGAGGAGGGAGAGGAGGATGGTGATGGTGATGGTGAAACAGAAGATAAACCAGTGCAGTGCATGGATGAACAATGAGAAGAGGAACTGAACACAACGTATGAAACATTACACTGGACAAGGAAGTGAAGGAGAGTGTGCTCGAGAAGATGAAAGACACTTCCATGACACACTGGCAAGTGGAGCAGAGGAGACAGGCTGCAGGTAGGAGAGACAGAGTCTTGAGAATATTATATCAAATAACCAGGTTACTATCTGGTAGGGAAGAGATCAACACAGATGAAACCATTGAGAGATAGTGAAGGAAACATAGTTGCCAAGGCAGAGAAATAGGGGAAACGATGGACTGACCACTTCAAAAAACCCTTGAATTGACCACCAGTACCACCACCTGCAATTCGTTCAGAAATACCACCAGCAGCCATGGAAATACCATTTGTCACAAGCCCTCCGACAAAAGCAGAAGTGAAGTCCTGAACGCCACACCATGAAGTTGCTGAAATCCAGGAAAGCAGCAGGACCAAATGGAATTCATCCAGAAGCACTGAAAACAGACGCAGAGACAACAGCGAACATGTTCACACCACACCGCTACTCCAGAAGTTTGGCAAGGAAGGAAGGAAGGAGGGGAAGGTACCTGCTGATTGATTGGAGGAAGGACTACCTTGTCAAACTTCCAAAGAAAGTAGACTTAAGAACTGGCGAGGAACCATGCTTCTGTCCACAACAAACAAAATATTCTGCTGCATCATCCTAGAGAGGCTAAAAGATGCGCTGGATTCAAAATTACGACCGGAAGAGGCTGGTTGGCTGACTTCAGGAAGAACAAATCATGTGCGGATCAGATTGCAACGCTACGATACGATACGCACAGAGTATGGAATAGTACTCAACGCTTTACCTCAACTTCATCGATTTTGAAAGGGCCTTCAACAGCGTCCATCAAGAAGTAATTTGACAGGCAACTGCTTCAACTCTACGATTTCAATGCCACAAACATTTATCAACCTCATTCAACAGCTAGATGAAGACGCCACATGCTAAGTGATGCCTTTGGAGTGAAGACAGGAGTAAGATAAGGTTGCCACCCACCCACTACCAATGATCATCCTGATTGTGGTCTACTGGACTGGATCATGCAATAAACTGTGAGGAGCTGTGAGATGGGCATACACTGGCTGGATCGATGAAAAGACCCCAGGAGAAAATTTTGATTTCCTCGATGATGATTTATGTCCAATGTCACACGAACTCAAAGATCTACAAGCGAAAACCAAGAAGTTGTCAGAAGAGGAGGGGCTGCGAAGACGGGACTTCAAGTGAACGTAGAGAAGACAGAGGTCGAGGTGATGAAGATACCCAACCAACCAACAACAACGAGCACCAATCACCATCAATGGGAGAAACCTAAAGGAAGTTGTCTCTTTCATCTATCTAGACAGTATCGTTTCAACTACATGCGGCACAGGTACAGATGAGGATGTCAAAACCAGGATGGGAAAGACAGCAGGACAGGTTTTCACTCATCTGAAATCAGTGTGGACATCCACTGCACTGCACTCAGTATAAAGCGTGAACAAGATCTGGATTTTCAACACCAATTCAGTGAAGTCAGTGCTTCTGTATGATGGATGAGAGACTTGGCGCGTTACGAAAAGCATTTCCAACAAACTACAGACATACATTATCAACAGTTGCCGCTTACGCCTACTTGGTACTGAAGATCAGATGGCCAGAATAATAAGAATGAGCGACAAGAAAATCTGGCCTGCAACGAACCAACCAACAACCCATCGCCCAACAAATGTGCAGAAGAAGAAAGTGGAGATGGATTGGATTGGGCGTACACTGAGACCATTCGCGGACATCACGTGCCAGGCCAGGTCAGGTCAGGCCAGGCTCTCTAGTGGAGTCCAAATGTGAAACTATGAGTTGGGCATCCGAGGTGAGAGTGATATGGAGGAGATGGTGTGAGGAAGAAATGGAAGCTTGTTGATAGTCGTGGAGTGATGTTGAAGAGACTGGAGAGAAGAGAGTGAAATGAAGACGTGGTAGTGAAGCCCCATGTTCCACTAGGAATTTGAAGGGACAAATAATAATAGTAGTGGATCCACAAAATCATCTTTCCTAGTTGGGGTCAATCTCATGACTTGTATATGCTAAAAATTACATACCACCCATATGTTAAAGTAATTCATACCTGGAAAGTGGTGATGCATCTTACAGATATCCTACACCCATGTAAGTTAACAGACATTCTCAAATGAAAGGAGTCTAAGCAAAACTAGGCAGATACAGAAATAATGAGACCGAGTAAAAAAGTAAATAGACGAGATGACTAACGTACTGAAATATATTTATGTGAGGAAACGGTAACTGAAATCTAAGCTGCAATAAATTAAAGACCAATTTGGATCAGTGGCTTTCAGAATGCTGTTGCAGGAGGCTAAAAACTGACGTGTCTCCCAGTTAGACTGAAGCAAATTATTTGTTCCAGTTATGTGCATACAAGTCACTTAGCAGAAGGTTCTACGCTAGTATATCGTCTGCTGTTTGTACAGGCCTCTTAAATCCGAGATATCCCAATTTAGAGATTTATGGGGACTGATTGATTTCAAGTTAATATTCACCACGGACTGACATCAGTTGGATAACCACTAGAAATTTGGGAGGACTGGACAGCTGTTTTGTCCCTGTATGGGGCCCAAAACCCTTAGGTTTGCGCCCTGCACGTTACCATCCACCCACTAAGTCTGAATCCAACGCTCTATATTTTCCTGCTTCTGTCATTTCGTTATGTAATTTGACCTTCATCCAGTGGCGTCTTTGAGTACCTGTCCTCAGGTAAGATTTGCTTTGTCCCACCGGTTCGAGATGAATCAATAATCGGTCCAGCTAAACTTTAGTGACGGCGAATCACGTCCAAGTGTTCACTGACCAATCAGAATCAAGAATATGAAGGACAAAGCAGTTAAGGGAACCAGTACTTTGACAATTTATTAACCTGTTTTAAATGAGAAATAAAGATACCTAGATTTTAAATAGGTTTATCATCTTTGAAACCACGCCATTGTTTCCACTGCCACCGACCCATATGAAACAACATCATTTAAATGATATTTGGGAAATTTCGCGTTGTGATCCCGTTAACGTTCTTAAGAACTTTCTAAGACGACTCCACGTATTTTCAAGTCGCCCGACCAGCGAAGTGCTTTGTATGAACAATAGCTTGGTGGGGCTAACCTGATTTAGATAAAGACATATATGGCTTCCAAGCGTCTATGTATATTGTGGTATCCAATGCCACGTGTTTTCCCAATTCTGCTAAGCCTATCAAATGTATTCTTTATGCGTTGGAAATGTCTTCTCTTCGTATTTCGGTCGTATATATCAAGAATCTGTGGTTTATTAAGACAAATGTGTGCATAAATACATTGGGTACGTTATAACTTACCCAGACCCATTCAAGTTTCCAAACAAGATATCCACCTAATTCTACCGAATCACCTTCTCTAACAAATTTCACTTGCAATTTGCAACGTAATTTTCGTCATAATTCATCATAGGTTTATGCAACATCAACAACACGGTAAATGGACATAACGAATAGCCTGAATAAATCATTTACAACCTGGTTGGTTATTCACAAGATTTCCCTCCATTAAGGGTTTAGTGGAACCCAATGAACCATCATCAAATTAGTACACCAACAGTTGTGACTATTAAAATTGAAAATACGTAGTATCACTTACCCAGTATAAAATGTATCCCTAGGGATATATGTGAATTATAAATGATACTAATAATTTATTTGAAACAAAGATGTAACATACTCAAGTTTCAATATTAGGAAAATATGAATTGTATTTTTTTTTTCTCATGGAATAAAATAATTATATTATATTAAGAAATTGGTTTTGTACAGACATTCCTGGCTAAATGTACTTTCAAGTGATCACTACGCTTAAAACGTTTTGAACAGACAGTACAAAAGAAATTACGCTCTCCTGTATGTGCTCGTCTATGACGTGATAATTGATCTGCACGTGTGAATCTAGCCCCACAACCTGGTTGATTGCATAAATGTGGTTTCACACCCGTATGTAAATGAAAGTGTTCATTTAAATGGGATCGTTTATAATATGCTTTAGAACAGCCTGGATAAGTGCATTGATAACGTTTAATGCGACTAGAGAGATTCTCCTCTATCTTTGTCAGATTATTATTATTATTACTAGTCATCCTCAAATTTGTTATCATGGTATTAGTAGTATATCCGTGAATTGATGTATCTTCACTTGGTTGTGACTGAAGTAACTGCAATGTTGAACCATCATTGTGATGAGTAGACGAATTCAACAAGTAATTAGTAGGATGGACAAATGAGTCGAAACACTGGGTCTGTGATTGTGGATACGTGGATATGTGGATATGTTGCTGTCGCTGCTCTTCCTCTTGCTGGTGTAAAGAGAAGTGGCGTAGAATAAACTGAGTAGCAGCTGCAAGATATATTAATGCTGGATGCCAAATACTTTGATCTGTGGTTGACTCACCAATAAAATATTGTTGTTGTTGTTGTTGTTGAGATAACTCACAATTCAAATTCATAGAAGACTGATAAGGCATCACACTTGAACAAAACTGACCATTTCGCGGTAATAAAGTATTTCCATTCAACTGAGGATGGAAGAGAGATAAAGAGGAATCCATGGTAAATGGGTTAAAATTAAAATCCATTCGATTAGTATTCAGATAGTTTGATACATACTCTTGTAAATCCATTCTTCTGCCCACTATGGCTGTATCTCTATCATCTTGATGTGGGCTTGTTCGATCCGATGTTCGTGTAGTCATGGCATAAAAAGAACATTTGGAAGTGTACTGTCATAATGTCTCAAAGCTGGAAAGACTGACGGAATTGTTTGACCTTGATAGTCAAGATTCTTGGTTAATTATACATTAACCAAATTCTTATTTTGACGGTGGTGGAGTGGGCCAGGAACTGTTCTCCTTACATTTTTTAAGGTTCGTAATGTTGACATTTGCTGTATTCACTGCGTGACTGACGTTATTCGCCTCCTCTCACCCACAATCATAATTCTCCCTTTTGATTGGTTTGTTCTAGGTCAGTACCGAAAGTGTCTGCTTTATTTTAATTCTGATCAAAGGGGTGGAATACAGTTTCTTTCTTTCCTAATGAAATGCAAAGAGAGAGACATGTGAGTGGCCACGACATGTTAAATACATTTTTCTAGGCTTTTGGCCACACAAACATTACAAAATAGGGCATTGGTTGGTTTTTTATAGCCGATATAATTTCAAGAGAAAGTATTTTCCCCAGGCTATGCACATGATTATTGCTATTTTCAGTGAGAATCCTATCCTTATATTGAGGATTGAATGGGTGCGACTCCTGTACGCCAGTGGCCCAGTGGGTGGTGCTTTAGCATTTGAAGCAATGAGTGCTGGGATATCGCTCATTGAGGCACAGGAACACCCAACTGACGAATCCCAAATAAGACAAAACGCGTGTCTTAAATTCCAATGCTAGCCACCACCAAGCAAATTACAGCATAGTGGATAAGCTAGAAATATCAAAGCATCCGCGTAGGAGCCCATCTGCAAAAGGGGGTCGATCAATTCGATCCAGAGTAACAAGATGAATTTACGAGTATCAGTGAGTAAGAATGTTTTCCTCCTTTATTCTTTGTATATATGCACGTCTACAGGTATTTTGTTAAGAATGAGCGAAGATTGATGACAAAGGTAAACTATGTTGTTCCCACTGAATAACTTCCAACAGGAACTCTGCTAACACCGCAGTTTAGGGATTGAATAAAGACTATATTAAGCTCTATAATAGTTGTTGAGCTGAACCAAATCATTTGGTAAATAATTGTACTGTGTTTGATTTGTAGCATGCTGGTTCATCCATCAGAGGTAGCTGACCGTACTGAGGTGGTTTGAACAACTTGCCTTTCCTAGCTGAACTTATCCGATTGCATTACTGATGAAATCAACTTAAATGAAACGAAATCTATTGTCCAATTTCGGAGTTAAATTAGACTATAGTGGCCATAATCAACGAACTCATGCAAGGATTGAGCGAAATAGGCTACATTTCGTTCAATCACAGATAGGCTTTTTGACTGCTACAAAAAAATCTGTATGTGACAATGCACTGTTAATATGTTTTAAATCTGTTCTAAATTATTTTATTCCTCAGGATCAAATCTTATGCTTTTGTAAGCTGTTTGGTTGTTGAAGGTCATTTGACCAATTGGCGATAACTTTGACTTGCTTTTTATCAAAGTTCGGAAATGTCAATGGGATCAGAATGAGGTTGGAAGAAAGCTGAGGTTATATAGGGTCAAGGCGTAACACCAATTCCTGAAGTCTCTTACTGTTAGTATGAGACATGGACAGAAGTGAGGCCTTCCACGATGGTCTTCGAAGCAGAAACAGTTTAGACAACAAAGAAAACCAACTGTACATAGATTGGTACTGACAGTGATTAGCGGTTAGCAGTAAAATTCAGGATATGGTTTTCGTCCCATACAGAACTTGCCAGTTGTATGTACCTGCCTCCTAGTGAGACTCAAATCCATTGCTTCAAATGCGTTATTATCGAAGTGAAATTAACAAGAGTATAAAGATATTCGCACAGGAGTTTACATGCTGACAGTGACCAGTCAGTTCAATCTAGACAAATCAACGATAAGCTGTATGAATGCTTGAATTTCGTTTTGACTATTTTGATTTTAAAAAATGAGGTTATCACAACTTTATATGCCTGTACATGCACACACACACACACACACACACCTCACACACATGCGTACATTCTGTTATTATTGAATTGGTTTTTTTTTTATAAAATGCATGTATGAACTTGTACTTGCTGAACACACACTGGTATTCAGTAGTACATTTTAACTGGGAAAGTGGCTAAAGCAGTTTCTTTTGTTTTCTGTAGAGTCTAGACCAACTTGTGTGTATGTCTGTTTTTCTATGGGTTTGTGGACACGAACATGTATAGATGAGTAACTTGCGTTTATGCATATACGCATACGTACATATATACACATGCAGGCTGTCTGAAAGCAATTGACATAAAGGAAAATGAAGGCTAACAGGAAAAGAGAAACGTTTTCTCCTTCTCGTCCTGCTTTGCTGAAACTACTTCGTACACACACACACACATACACATACACAGACATGAAGACAATAGTTTATTTCACTTTCTCAGAGAAAGAATGAATGAGAGTGAGGAGGGTATGTCTTAATTAACTGGAACTAAATTGTTTTAATGATGTTGCTTGTATTATCCAGTCGTTGAATGGACCGTATGAACCGGTCTCCATTAGCATATGAACTGCTGCGCGGAAGCCTCGATATTACCCATCATTTCAATATTACAATAATGTTAGATCGTGGAATTCAAGAGGTGCGTTTCGTTCTATTTGGAACTCGTCAGCTGGCTGTATTTACCTCCTAGTGACTGATGTTGTTCCCATTAGGGCTCGAACCCCGGGCTGATCGCTTCAAACGCCAGAACATTATCCACTAGCCCATTTAGTTGCTACAGCCACTTCCTGTGCGATAGGTTTAGTTTTTATGTTGTTACTTGAACTATGCCGTCATTGACTAGGGTTGCATAAAAATCCGCCACAGTGAACTGGTGGCCTAGTGGGTAGTGCTGTGGAGTTTGGAGCGGTGGGTCCCGGGTTCCAGTATTGGTGGGGCAATATAACTCACCACGAGGTAGGCATGTCAAATGACATATCCCTTCTTCCTCAAAGTCCACGCCGTTTTCACTTGATAATATGGTCTTGGTTGAAAAGTCAAAGAAAGTTAATCAGTTTCCCTTAAACTCCCTTAAAAAGCAGCTCTACATTATTCTGGATAAAGAGAAGACATGCCAAGAAACAAAAACAATGAAAGAACATTTCAGTGAAGAGATCTTCCAATAATTTTCTTCAAATTTTACAACTACAGTTGTGCACTTTTTGTTTTTGATAATTACAGTAATTTACTGAACATAATTGATGAATAAATCGAAATATCAGTATTGAGAATGTCGTTGTTATAAATAACGAAGTTTTGATTATGATATTAATGATGAACAGTGGTTAACAGTAAAATCAGGGCTCGTGTTTCTTTCTCTTTACGACTCTTGAATCAGTAGCCTAGTGGATAACTCTCTGGTATTCGAAGTGATAGGCCTTAGTAAGAGCAACATCACTCACTCGGAGGTAGGGACACCCAACTATCAGAGTCCCAAGTAGGACCAAATGGGCATCAAGCAGGATTCCACTGCTATCCACTATCTATCATTAACATCGAGTTATCCTCACAAGAGCCTATATGCCACTAGTGACTGACCATTTCGGTCCGATCAAAGATGGGTTTTCACAAGCTACAATATCAGAAGTTTTGATTTATTTTTTAAAAAAAATACCACATAGACCCAAATAGTGACTAATTATTTTAAATAAAAAGATTGTATAACAGGGCGAAATACCCAAAAAATAAAATATATTCAAAAACGACATAAAAACACAAGTTAAACGGCATTGAATAAGAAATGAATACAGTGAAGGGAAGGTATGATTTTATAGGTTGGAAAGGAGAAAGAAGTTGGATAATTCTGTTTGTTGACACACACACGCATATACATTTCAGTATCTTTAAAAGGAATTTATAGATAACTTAAAATGGGTATGCTTCCATAACTCATTGGTGACTTGCTTCGAGAGGAGATTCTCGAAGCTGTGAGGCGAAGTCGTGACCAGTGGGGGCAAACAAGTCGGATACGAGGACTGCATTGGATGTAGGTTACGTTATATAGTGAACTGACAGAAGTAGGAAATATGGACCACTGGTTCCCTATCCAGAGACTCAATAGTAACGTGCTGGCAGCGGAACGTTGAAGCGTCTGCTTTCAGTCCTCGGTGGCGTCATGGGTGTGAACTGCTTAGGAGTCCCATACTAGGACGAAACAGCCGTTCAGTGCTCCCAGATTTTCAATGTTTCTCCAACTGATGTCAGTCCATGATGAATACCAACCTGGAATCAATAACTGAATAACGGATATTGAAAGGTTTAATCTGAATAGATATGCCTTGTTAAACAGCGCCGACAGGCACAAAAACCTAGGTCAAGTGGGACTTCCTGCCGGTTGCCTCTATCCAACTAACATCAATTACAACAGTTTGCATGAATCTACTAGTGTTACTTTACAGTCAAATAGAATAGTTCACCTGAATCCAGTGTTTGGAGCCATACAATTTGCTCTACATGTGCGATCCAATAGTATAAACTTTATATCTGATCCAGCGGTTAAAGTAATGATGGATCTTATAAAGCAAGGTAACAAAATCAATTACCATACCCATCTTATAGGGACACAGATGGTAGATAGACAGAAAGGCAGACAGGGAGACACAGGGGATATATTCTATGTCATCCACTCACAAACATTTTTAATGAGTCCTTTGCCAGAAATAACATACCTGGAAAAAATTAAAATAGTTAACCTACGTAAATCCATATCTTCTGGAGCAAAGGTGAAATTCTGACCGAGCGCAACAACCTCGCCATTCCTAAAAACAATGGAAAAACTGTTGCTTAGTATGCCTGAACCTCCTATGGAGTCCTGGATATTTCGAACTGGCTTGGTTCTTACTTTTCTCAGAGAAGACAGTACACTATACAGAGAGAAGTCCCAAATCAGGCGAAACGCGCGTCTTAGATTCCACTGCTAGTCATTATCAGTAATTAACATAGAATTATGCAGAGTAAAAATAAGACAAATTTAAGACATTCTTAGTGTAATCTTAACTGCAGACTGT